AGAAGAAAACAAGGGTGTTGTTGTAAATAGCTTGTCAGGGCTATAGCCTCCTCAGTATCTCGTCCCCCCCCCGCATACAATGTCAAATACAATTCAATTTCTGCCTCAGCATCAGCTTAGGCTAACACGGTCAAGCAAATGCCTATTTTCTGAATGGCCTGGGGGAGTTACGCTTTTCAGCTTATCAACTTTTATTAACCTTAGCACTGAGGTTTGCTCTTTGATTTAGATTCTTTGGGAAACACTGAAATTGGATTTTTTTTTTCCCGACTCTCACTCCTGCTGTGACATATGCTCAACAACTTGTTACACAGAGGAGAAAAAACTAAATGCCTGCTTTGGTTTGTTGCTTGGAATTTTTTATGATGGGGGCCAATAACTTTAATTTCTTTTTCTTTCCTGATCTGCCACGGTGCTTTAAGAGCACGTCTCAGAGTTTCAAATAGTTTTCTTTTAATGATGGATCAATGGATGCTCAGTGTTCCTCAATATAGCACCATTGTTATTGTATGTCCATCAGTTATGATTATTTTAAGCACCTCTAATATTTAGCAATATTTCTATTTGAAATGTGCCAAAGGTAAGAATTTGAGGCGTTTTATGTATTTTTTTTATTTATTAATCACATTTTATGCCAATTTATAATATGTCCGTACCTGCCCTGATACCTATCAGTGCTGGACATCTTTTATGGTTGTCCTGAATCAATCCACAGAATCCGGTCTGAGACCGATCCTGGCTGTTTAAAGCTTAATGTATTTCTGTTCAGCGTGCCGCTGAAAACTGCAAGTTAACTTCAGTATTTGTTAATGCTTTAGATGAAGAGAAGTTATTGTCCAATACAATTGGACACTTCTCAGAATATTATGAGAAAATATTTTGCAGACTATGTTTTCATAATGCAGAGCTATTCAGCCATCAAACATATTTAATTTTAATATAGGCTTATTGTAAGTGCACTTTGTATCAGTATCCGTATGAGATCAACAGATACTCAATTTTATTGGATTTGGATTAGGGGCACTCTCTGCTTGTGCAACACCAGCTAACGCTAGCTTAGAAATGTCCACTATGGATGTCTACAAATGAAGCTGGCTGGGTAACCTTAGCTTGCTTGAGTGTTATTTGACTTGCTCGCCAAATTACTTCACCAGCTAACGTGATCCATGATACTAACCTTCTCTATTATGACAACCAGTATTGATTTTAGCTAACAATTAATAATGCAACAGTACAAATCAAAGGTGTATAAACGATTGCTTTCTACTAGCCAAGAGCGATGCAAGCGATGTGGCTTGGTGTTGGCTAATGGGGTGATTTGTAAATGGCAAGCTAGTTAGGATCGTGGAGCCAATGGTTCAAATAGAATATAGGAACATTGCAGATATAACTTTATTCTAAATATTATAGTAATTTATTTTCCAGCATTCATATATGTCACGTTTGATGCCCAGGATGATGCTCGCTCAAGGGACAGTTGTGTACGGAGTGCGAGTACGAGCAACTCAACACTGACTGCAGTTCACCCAACAGCCACCGGTGTCGTCATTAACAGCGGTTTTCTTAACGTTATATATACACAACCCTTTAACAATGGATCACACAACTGCTTGAATGTAAAAGGGGTCACTCGTAGTGAAGAACCCAAAGAAAATCAATGCCTGTCTCTGCAGTTCCCCTTAACTCAACAGAGCTTTATGGGACTTATTGTAGCTCATTCTTTTTGTTCTCCGACTCGCAACTTTACATTTTTGGTTCCCTCTCATGGCTCTCATAGCGATGTTTTCAGCAACAGCAGGCATCTGTTTTCAAGGAAAAAGCTCTAAAAACCCACTGTACACTTCTGCTCTTCACACTCAGACACAGTTAACAACCAGCTGGTGAACCTAGTGGAGCATTTAGAAGCTACAAAGCCTGTTTTTTCTTCTCATGAGTTGGTAGAAACCAAAGCTAAGTTACATTATGCAGGCGGACAGAAACGAAGCTCATGAATGCTAATGTTTCTGTCCATCCCAGCCACAGAAGTACCCCCAACCGCATGTCACCCACTTAATATATGACAAAATGAATAAGGTTTTTACTTCCAGAACCCTAAATGCCCACTTTGGTCCTCTATTAGATAAAGACTAAATGCAGATGGAGCTATTTGGCTCCATTAAAAGGAAGAAAATAAAGTCTATACAGCATGGATTGCTTCCCGGAGAATAATCATATACTGTGGCTGCACAAACCGTTTTCTAAACTAGGCCTGCTAGGCTTCATACAGTCACACGTCACATACAGTGTCAAAGAAAACAAAGTGTGAAAACTGCCCTTTACATGAAGTGTGTACTTCCTCTTTCATTTTGCTTGGCAAGATATTGTAGACTCCCGCCCCCTGACTGGGCTCTGGATTATTAGCTTAAGCTCTCTAAAAATATCCCTTTGACTGTTTAAGCCTCTGACAGCAGCAACATCTCACACATTCTGATAGCTTTATACTAACTATGGCTGCAGAGGGCTCATGCACTCAGCTCGCCTTGTTATCTTTTACCTTGTTTGCCCGAGGAGGAGAAGGAGGAGAACTTACGGGCCCCCGAAATTTACAACAGTCCTCTCTGCTTCGGAATCAGACTCGGAGCGGATCATCAAAGGCGAGCATGCAATCACAGCAATCTACGAACAAACGAGATGCTTTTTTGAGCACAAGAGGATTTTGCCCAGATGTCACTCGAAGCACTTGTCATTGTTGCGACAGCTGTAGAAGCACATGGACTGTCATTTGAAAAGCGTCTACCGCAACGTACCAAAACAGCTCACGTCAAATGTGAAACATACACAGCCTGAAACATAAGAGTTTTGAATATTAATACTGTAAGCCCCTTAAGGAATTGTGACTTTTATTGCCTATCATTTCAGTTTTATTGGCTTGCCTGTTTAGTGACAATAATTGCATATTTACCACCGTACAGTATTTATAAACCAATATGTTAGGTTTAGCTAAGCTTTTAGTACCAAATATTTTTGATGTTGGCATTCATAAGAGCGCATAGAAATGAATAAATTCCTGAAACACTGTACACATGTGGCTCGTAGACATTGCTTCAATTATCTTTTCTTCTAACACCCACACTCTCTCGAAAGGCTTTTCTCACAAATATTATAGCTGCTAACTAGAGAGAGACGGAGGGTGAGATAGAGGCATGTGCGGCTCAACAGCACTGTTGTTATTCCAGCCTTCATTCATGTGTCTCCTTTAAATGCTTTGAGATGAAATATCACTGTTTTGACAAGACGTTTTCCAAGCTGCTCGTGTCCCTGCCTCATGCTGGTCGGTGATGGAACGTTCCTAAGGAGAAAAGTCAATATGTGATTGTAAATAAATAAAAACCAATGTCAGACCTAAGCCCTCAATAGATTGAAAAGATGAAAGGAGGGGAAAAAAGAAACGACTACTCACCTTTACTCATTATGAAACTGATTCTTGGCTGCAGAAGCTAATTGACTAGCCTCTCAACCCCTGTGTGTGGGGGGGTGGTGGTGATGAATTGACATATTGCTGGCTCTGTGATGTTGATCCAAGGCAGAGAGCCATGCGGCTTTCCTCCAGGGACCAGTAACCTTATTGTTCCATGTCATCTCCTCCCCTTCTGTTTGAGGACCAGGTTGTCAACCTCTCCCCAAGGTCATGCAAACACCAGCCCCCCTTCTGCAGATAATTGGATTATTTAGAATCATAGCATCAACTTATTGCTCCATCTGGGGTCAAAAGTGAATTTAGTGCACGAGGTTGTCTGTCATGATTTGTGGCATCGTTTTGACCTGACAAGCAACAGCTTCTGTCACCAGTTAAAGGATCGTAGCAGTGGCTATGTGTGTTTTGGCCTATTTACAACAAATCACAAATTGGACATCACAGCTAACTGTATTGCAAATCATCCTGGTGTGTTTTTAGATCTACTACATCCATTGGTTTCCATTAATTTATGGACAATGTAAGAAATTAATTAGCAGACCGTGAAACTTCCCAAAAACACTAATATTGTTGGTTTACATTTTTATATTCCAATGCATTTTGTTTTGTTTTTTTTGTGTATATTTGTTTCTTCCTACCATTCCAGGTATTTATTGATATTAATCTTTGTACTATATAAAAAGAAATTAGCAGACTTGAGTTAGTTTTAGCCTTGAAAATCATGTATAATTTACATTTGTGGGCAGTATAGTGTAAGTTTTGGGTGAATTTTTTCAGGCAGTGTTGGTTTCCATTCATTTTCATACAATATGAAAATCAAATGCAAAACTTGTTGGCACTCCTTTACCATGCAACAATAAAGCAAGCAAGCATTTTTAATATTGAATGGAAACCAATGTAAAAAAAAAACCATACAAATATTTAACTAAACTGCATGAATTTCGGTTGTAAGAGTTTACCATCCAATTCTAATGCCATGCGTTAATGAGTGGAAATCACTGGCTGCCTGAAGAGTGGGATAGAAAATATGTATCTCAAAATCTAAAACTACAGCATGTATTTGAAAATTTTAACAATCAATGTTACATGATCTGTAGTTAAGAAGCATAAAAAATGCATAAACACTGCTATGGGCCTTTTAAAGTGCACCTGTTAGGAGACTAAAGAAACATATAGTGGCTGTTGAATGACTGCAGTGTTGGGGATTCCCACATACCAGCAAATATTCATGGTTTCAGTGGTGGTTTCATTGCTGGAGGCTGATGTGGTTTTATCTCATGCTGCCGTGGTAAGATGAGATGAAGTGGGGCAATAGATTAAATGGGTGGGCTGCATGCCTATTAAATCAGGAGTTGGCAGAGCAACACTAACTCAGGTTACTTATTCTCAAGTGACATGGCCGCACATGTGAGGATAGGAGGCAAGCAAGATGTCTTTACTTCACGTCTGGAGTGTGACATTCTGCTCTGTTTGTGACTCTGTAATTAACTGCTCATTTGTGTGTGTGTGTGTGTGTGTGTGTGTGTGTGTGTGTGTGTGTGTTGAGGGAGACCATGCCAAAGTCAAAAGAGCTTGGCTTTGAGGTGAGTTGACCAGCATTGCACACTAAACGATCCTAAAGTTTATTTTGCGATAAGAAGTTCTTTTTGGACAGTGATTGATGTGCTAGTCTCCAGCCTGCAGCAGATGCTTATGGAAGTCAGGTTTCTTGTCAGCAGCTCTCTGTTATACGCACTCTGCTAAAGGTCCACCACATCGACTACAGAGTGTTTATTGAATTTGAAATGGCTCTTGGGAGGCTGAGAAAGTTGCAGTATCAGCAGGCTTGGGGCTCATTCAGTTGGCCTGTTAAAAGCCTCTCATTATTCATTCACTCGGGGGATGCTTCCCTTCACTGATTTGCATGACACCACATGAACACACTGTAGTCTTTAATAACCAATATTACAGCCACCTGGGTTTTAGATTATTGGAAATGAAGTACAGCTTGTACCCATAGAATGTACTGTTTAGAAGTGGGCTGCTTCTCAGATAAAAGGGTTGGTACGGAGTGTTAAAATTTTGCTGTATTTTGCATATTTCTTGCGCTGGATCAAAAAAACACAAATAGCGTTATGTTTCAAAGGCTCAGGATTTAAGTGCGGTTCTCTTGAAAGGTAGATCGCCTCGAATATGCTCTGCACTGTGTGAGTAATTTCATCCGAGAGCTAACGTGTTTCAACGGACTGATAGAAATGCGGAATCGATGCATTGACAGTTAAGAGAGGAGAAGGATGAAGGCAGACGGGTGGTGGGGGGGGGGGGGTAGAAATGGAGGGGGCCTCACATGAAAAAAAAAACACAAAGGGCAAAGTGTAGACTCTCCTAGTAGTTACAATTCTTTGACATTTTCCATGTCAACCTGATTTGCCAGAACACTCTGCGAAATTGCATTGGATGAATGTGATTTCTCAGATAACATCAGTGGCGTACTGTACTTACTGCATTTCTAGATGCTTCACAGTTCTCGCTTCTTCTTTTTTTTTTTTTTTTTTCTTGTCACATTCTGACAATTTTACTGGCCCCCATACTGTAGTTGTACACTTACAAGTCTTCAAAGAATCAATATACATACAGTATACAGCATCATTCACACATACACAGTACACTTGTAATAGGAGTACAACTGCAACCTCGGGCGATGTCGTTGAAATAATAATTTGTATAAGAAGCATATTTTTCCAACCCCTAATATACAATATGTTAAATGTGTGTGAAATCACCTGCGCCTCAAGATTTGTTACAGATTTTGTAAATAGTAATATGAGAAATGATTCTTAGCACAAGATCCACCTGCGAGACAATATGCTGGAGCTTTCAGCCACATCTCAATCTTTAATCAGCAGTTTGTCTGTAGATTATTAAAGGATGGTCTCTTACGTCAGATCCAACCACCTGTTATGACTGACTGAAATTCTTTAAAAAAACAATTTAACAATCTCCATGACAACTGGGCAAACTCCATCCTCTAAGGAAGGGCTGAAAGCTCCAGAAAATGTCCAGTAAACGGATCTTGTGCTAAGAATTTCTTGTCAAAATCTAATTTATGTTAAATTCAATTAACTGTCTTCCATGAATTAGTATGCATTCTATCAAACAAAATACTATATGTGTACAAACCTTTTGCCTTTTTAATAACATCAATTATAATCAATTATACATTTTGACAACAGATTTCGTATAATAACACAATTTAATCATATCATCAATAATATGATTCTAATATAAGTCAATAAACAAAAACTGAGAACAATTATGCCATTATAGTGCAAACAATATATTTTATTATTGTTATTCTGTCAAATTTACAGTAAAAATCTGAAAAACTAACTAAGTAATAACTAAAGACAAAGCCCATTTTACAGAAGGGTATCTCTGACTCCTTTAAGGCCAGTGAGGTTAATTTAAACTCAGTAGCAGTCTGGTTAATTGGTCAGTGTAGTTCTATTGATGGATACTATAATTGGATATTGTTGAAGTTGCTGCCCAGTAGTCAAAATCTGACATATCCGCATATTCTGAAACATTGTTATCACCACATTATGAATGACTAACAAAAATGACACCAGCACTTCTTCAGTGTAAATACAAGATAAAAAGCTTGTCCTCTCAAAAACAGCAATCAGCAGATCTGAACACAGCCGCCTGATTGTGATCTGTTTCCTTTAAATGCTCAAAGTACTATCTGCATCACAGCTCTAATTGAATCTTTCCCTGGCTGTGTTTCTCAAACAGCCTGCAGTGGAGATGATCACTTACTCACTGGCTTCAACACAAAAGCACAATTTAGCACCAATGTAAAGCTTTTATATTTCACGGTTTGGTGATTTATGTCTGATCAATTGCCACACAATCCTGAATATTTCCATTTGTCAGCAGTAAACTAAATTGACCATATCTTTTGTCAATTCATTTGTTTTGCACTTACGTTCTTTGTTTTTTTTGCATTCTATTGCTTTAGGAACTTATCAGGTAAGTTTTTCCTGCCAGGCAAAACGAAGGAAGTTGTCCATGTGTGTTTATGCGTGTGTAGCTTGCCCTGCTCAACAGCCATGATGCTTACCCTACCACCTCTGGCCCTTAGAACCTTTTAGCTCCTAAACCTGAGTAGAGCGCCTTTTTTATGTCGGCGAACATAAAACCGAGGGGTGACAATGTGCCGAAGCCTTGTGTGGTTTTGCATTCAGTGTCTGGAGGAGTGCTTGTGGTTACATCCAGTCACAGTGACAAATTGCCTTTTTTTTTCACCATCGCCTGCTAACAGCCTCTGTATTAACCTCACCATTAGCACTTACTTAGAGTGTTACACCCATTTTTCCTCGGCCCAGGGTCTCCCCGGACCTCTCAGGCCTGATTAAAGGACATTTGGGAAGCATTTAGAGGTGTAAAAGCTCATTGGTTTGAGTGAGCTAGTGTGGCTGGTGGTATTGGAGCCTATCTCTCTGATTATTCCCATAACCACAGTATTTGCTCACCCTGAAGGTGCTCAAGTGTTAGCTTTGATACAGATGCTAGAGGCGTCTACAACCCTTAATGCTAGCTCCTCAGTGTGCTGTATTACGGAAAAGCAGAGTCCACCCCACTGCGAGACGGCGATAAAGACATTCCACCTGCTCATAGTACATCATGATGAGTTAATAATAAAGTAGCACTGACAGGTGTGGGTTTTTTTATCCCTCTCATGATCAAAGGCAAGCACTCCGGAGAGTTCTGTCGTCTCCAGGCGAGAATATCCATTCTGTGCAGATGCTGAGGAGAGATGGCCTGTTTCAGGAAGGGAATGATACAGTACACGCACCACCTATCCCTTCCGCTCGCAGAAGTAGCTTTATCTGACAACAGCATATCTTCACACGCTTATTTCCATCTCACTTAGGGAATATGACATTCTAATATTTTACAGCTCTCCTGTAACTGCATGGAAACATCATTGAGCGCTCCTATTGATCTTTTTCGAAGCGGTTTCATAGCCCATCTGGTTTCATTATCACTTGATCTCTCTGGCAGGATTGGAAAAATCTGACCTCTCTCAGTCACACTTGTGATCTTTGATTAACTCTTCAGAAATTGCTCTTCATGATGCATTCATTCAACTTAACACACTCACCCGGTGGTCTGGTGTTTTTACAGACAGATGACATTGCGGAGATTGCAAAGAAGACCCAAAACCTCCCCAAGGACAACGCGAAGAGGCAGCGAGTCGTGGTCTTCACCCAGGGCAAGGACGACACTGTTGCAACTGTTGGTAGGCCATTTGTGTTTTCCCATTTTTGTCTGCCTATCTACACATATTTCAACTTAAGTACCACTTGAGGCCATCCCAACTTTGGCCCCTTTTGGACATCTTTACCCTTCACTTAAACCTCATATCTCAAAACTGCAGAACGCAGCCTTAAATAGATGGTAGATCGCTCACTGAAGAAAGTCGAATGCTATCAGTAATTTCTTTGAAGTTTGCCTGCAATATTGACACCAGATGTTAAAAAAAAAAAAAAAGAATACTTGCACTACATTCTGTCATTTCAGAGCATAAAAGAAGTGTGGGGGATGCAGAGAGCAGGCATTGATTTGTGAAGTACTTCTAACTTTGTCTTGGACAGACTCCAGGCCAGTCCTCAGCAATTTTTAATGCTTCAACTCTTACATCCTGCCCTTTTTTTGTGTGCAAAATGCTGGCAGAGTGACCTTGAGAGGAGGGTTGACAATGTTGGTCCTCAAATCAATCCAGTTTCCTTTGATTCAGGGCATATTTGTTAGTAGGACATTAAAAGGCAGTGTCATCATAACTGAGCAGGGGTTGCGGGTTCAATCGGTGTGGGGAGAGACGATAGTTTCCGATTACTGCTGGGAGCCTTTGCCTTTGTTTAGAGCCACGGGGTGTCTCTCCTCGTTGCCCTTGCAGTTCAGACTAGTCGTGCACGGGGAGAGATGGCCTCAGGTAAAGACTCCAACATATCACTCATCACTGGGGACTGCAGAGAGGCACAGCTACAGCAGGACTGTTAGCACTGCAGGACACTGCCTTCACATTTGTCCAATGTCCTCAATTTCATACTGCTGGCAACAGTATTTACAAGCTGAAGCTTTGTACAGTATTTCACTGATGGCGTTATTAAACAATCAATAATTAATTGTGTCTTTTCTATATTTTCTAGCGTGATTCCTTTTTTTTGTCTGCACTGCCAGACAAAACTCTCAAGAGACTGTCTTGGTATAATAAAGATTAAAGTGGCTATAATCAATATTTTTATATTAACACTGGATAAAATGACTGTGTGGTGTGTGAAAGGGCAGTTCTCCTCAACTCTACACAGGTTTTAAGCCTTTTTTTTAACTCGTTTTTTAGATTCACGCCATGCAAATTTGCTGTTTTTAGTTTACTGTCACGGCTCTCATAGCGTTGTTTTCACCGGGAGCAAGCAGCTGTTGTTAAAAAAGTAAAAAAGCTCTAAAAAACCTCTGTACACTACCTGCACAGCACCAACCAGCAGAAAGACACAGTTAGCAACTAGCTAGTGAACAAACTGCAGCATTAAGCAACTAAAGAGCCAACTTCAAGACTTGGTAGAGACCAAAAAAAGAGCTAAAAAGAGAGTCTTTGTACTTTGATTCATCAGGTCAACATAAACACAACTCTAAATGAATGCTTATGTTGCTTTGTATCTGCTGTATGACCATGTTCACCATTTGCCAAACACGTGCAATATAACATAAAAGTTATAATCGTTGTTCAGTGCACTCTCCGGCCACATTCATTTTTAAAGTAGAATTCCTGGAAGTACATTTCCTTTCATGAGAATTTGAAAAGAAATCTTTAAGCAGAAGCCTGACAGTTAAAAAGAACAAGAATCCATCCATTGTGCTGGAGGTGATGGATAATTTCTGCCTGCTTCTCACATTGCTCCTGCATGAAGACAGAGCCGCGCGCCGCTGTGAACTTTATATAAAATACATGATGAATGCAGGCGGGATGAAAGACAATGTGTTTCAGATGTCATCTACAAAGGCAAACATGATAAATGTCATTGACTGTGCTATCATTGCAGTAGAGCAGTTACAGTAGTCGGTGCAGCACAATCGGTGTGTGTGTGTGTGTGTGCGAACATCGCTATTCATGCCAGCCAAATAAATGTCAATGTAAAAAGAGAATTAAAGATTTTCATTTCCCAGAGGCGGCGCTCTAATAAACTTGATCTCTCATTTTGTTTGCAATTTGTCCTCCTGTCAGGATTTGATCATTTGCCAGCCTCTGCATGTCATGTTAAACCATTTTATAGTGATTAAGGATGGGAGAATGCTTTCCCCCGTGGTATAATTCTCCAAAAAGAGATGTCAATTTGTTATTGTTCTTTTTTTTTTTTTTTCCTGCCCTTCATTTGGAGCCTTTCATCACACCACCGCTTCAAACGGGCCTTTTAAAAGCTGGGAGCAGGGGAAATGGCCCTTTATTTAGCTGCCACTGACACTGCTGAACTACACTGGGCTTTTGCTTATACACCCATTAAAGCAGTAATTAAGATCATTGTGCCCTGAACCTTAACGGTGAGGAGATCTAATAAACGATCATTCAGCGGGGGTCGCCGCTCTAATCGCTGATAAGGACTTGATAAAGCCTGACTCGGCTCCTCTGTGAGTTTTAGGGCTCTCAAGGGGGCCAAGCAGGCAGATTTCGACTTTAAAAAAAACCTGATCCATACATGTTAATCACATGAGGTGGAATGAGGAATGAATACTGACTACAAGGCGAAAGGCTCTCTTTTTAAAGCAGGTTTATTTGTCATTCTCTCTAAAGTTACAGTAGATGAAAGAATTATTGAAATATCTACTTGAAGGAATCTTAATAGTCTGTTTAAAAAGCAGGATGTTTATGGTCTATACTTCATGATAGAGTAAATCAATTAACATGCTGCACTATGAGAGAGACCGCCTCTCTTTTCCCTTGGCATCTCACGTTGAAGTGTTTTCTTTCATGTCTGCCTGAAAGGATATTGGTTGGCGATGATCTTTTGCCTGTGGTTACAGTAATTACAGGCATATGTATTTTTTTTCTTTCTAACTCAATTGTGAACAAAGATGCTAGTTATGATAGAGAAACAGATTGAATGTCAACTTGCTCCTAACCTGTCGCGTTTGCCAAGAAAGCGGTAACGTTGTTTTCCTCTCCGAGGCTCAGAGTTTGGCTGAAAAGCAAAAGGAAACGTTCCAGAAGAAGAAGTTGTTTCTCACATAAAGATGTTGTACTTAAACTCTGTTGAGTGCTTTAGCTCATGCCTTTTAGCTAAATAGTCATGTGTAATTCCCAGTCACTTAGCAGCTCAGGATTTAAAATGATGTATTAATTGTTTTACTTGTGTAGATGATACAGTGTGACAGGATCAAAGTTAATTTTAATGACCTGCCAACTATTTGATCTACCTGCTCTCTGTCAAAGCAACAATAGCGAGCGCTGGAACACAATCAAGCGAAGCGTGTAATAATTTCAGAGTCAGAACAACACTCCATATGCTCATTTTCCAATAAAGCAGAGGTCGTTTTATTTGCATGTACAGTCTTTTTATTTTTAATTTTTTTTTTTTTTTTTACAGGAGAGCATTTTCTCAGTCAGTGTTGTGCTGTAAATTGGCACTGTTAAAAAGAATAGCCAATAATAAAGGACTTAATTGATACTCATTTCAAAGAGACGCCTGTTGAAAGAATTTCTTAAGTTTAATCACCACCATTCAAGAGTTGTAATGAGGGTATTATGAAGAGCGAATTAACAAAAGCACACAATTATAGCTTACTCGAAGGAAGTATGAGTTCCTTCAAAAAAAAAAATTTTCTTTTCTTTTTTTCTCTGTTGCAGGTTACCTGTCAAAGAAAAGCCATACCACGCTCCCACGTATTCACCACCAATCTGCTGCTTTACTCTTTTTGTCAAACCAAACTCTAGTTTTAAAAAAAACGCAAAAATGTACAGCAGAGTTTTATTGATTGAAAATAATCTTGACGATCTCATTACAGTAAAATGTGAAATTAGTTCAGGAAAGTGATGTTTTCAGACGTTCTACAAGCCAGTAACAACAGAGTCAGAATATTTTGGCAGGAGCTTTTTTTTGTGTGTCATTTTTGCCAATTGGATCTTTGTTACAGACGGCTGGGGAATATTTGGACTGTAACCTGAGTTAACATGTCAGTCAGGTTTAATTATTTGCATCAATGAGGTTATGTGACCTATCCTAGCAGCAGAGTACAAACTTTGGTCTTGATGGTAGAAGGCAGAGAAATATTGTGCCATGCTTCTATAAACACTACTCAGAAATGTAAATGCCTTTAACAACAGCATGCTGCACACAGTGAGCTGGTCAGTCAGAAATGTAACTGTATGTCTCTTACGGGGTAAAATTCATGTTGACCCTAATTTAAAGAATTCTTTGGACAAAATTAACGAATTTGCAGCGGCTTTTCAAAGAAAATTTCACTATATTTTTGTAGGTGCTTTGCGCTCCGGTAAATGCTAACGTCAACATGCTAGCAAGCCCACAATGACAATGCTAACTGATGTTTAGCAGGTAATGTTTACCATGTTCACCATCTTAGTTTATGGTGTTAGCATGCTAGCATTTGCTAATTAAAACACACAAAGTACAGCTGAGGCTGATGGGAACGCCATTAGTTTTGCAGGCATTTGGTCATAAACCCAAAGTATTGGAAAAAGATCAAGTCAAAACCTGGTGATGGCGCTGGATGATAGTGTCATTAGGATTCATCTGGAGTCTGAGAACTATGAATTGATGGCACTCCATCCAGTTGTTGTTAAGGTATTTCAGACTGGACCAAAGTGGTTGACAGACTGATATTAGCATCGTGAAGCAACGTCATTACTTAAAGGACCAGTGCGTAGGATTTTCTGGCATATAGCTAGTTAAGTTGCAGATTGCAACCACCTGAATATTGCTCGCAGAACTCACAAAAACCACTAATGACCATGTCTACGGCGAGTGGTTTGTCTGTTCTGTGCTACTGTAGAAACCAAGTGCTAACCTGTCGAGATGTCGTCACCCATTGATTTGTGGAGTACCGCTTTGAAGTCTCGAGTCGTATTATAATTGTTGTTATTATTATAATTATGGTCGTCACCATTGGCAGTTTGTCGAGAAGTGACAATTTGGGTAATTTCTCCGTAAGAGTGCATGGTATCGTTTTTTTTTTTATTGCAGCCAATGGCCCCTGTCGTCCATTACACAGAATGCAGGTTTAAGACACTTTTGCGTTTGCCTCACTTCATAGACCTGGAGGCTCTGTCCATTATATAGCTATATTGTCAATGGTAGAAACATGGCGGTTCACTATGGCGGACTCCGTAGGAGAGGAACCGCTCCCTTTGTATATAAAAACGGCTCATTTTAAGGTAACATAACAAACAAAAACACAACAATTCTTTTTTTCAGGTGATTATACACTAATAAAAACATACCATA